GTGAGTGAGTGAGTGTGTGTGTGTGTGTGTGTGTGTGTGCGTGAGAGTGTGTGTGTGTGTTTGAGAGTGTGTGTGTGTGTGTGTGTTTGAGTGTGTGTGTGTGTGAGTGTGTATGTGTGTTTGAGTGTGTGTGTGTGTAATGGTTTTTCTGCTGTACAAACTGTATTTTCTATCCTCTTACTCTAACCCTACACCTAAACCTACCCCTCAATAGTACTCGAGATCGGTCTTGGTCTTGTCTCGGTCTCGGCCATATTTGTACAGTATTGCGAGCACTTTCTGTGTTTATTTGCCTCTTTATGATGAATCACTTGTTGTTTTCCTCAATTGTAAGTTGCTTGGGATAAAAGCTTCTTGTTAAATGAATAAATGTAAATGTGTTTGGTCTCAGACTAAGAGGACTTTGGATTTTATTTCAAGACAGATCAAGACCACATCTGTAGGGATATCACTAAATTGCCGACACACTGTCTGATTTATTTGTTAACATCATTAATGTGATTGGATGTAAAACTTCCTGCTTCAAATGCAAATGCAAATAACTAATTTATAATTGAAATTCTTTTGATACTGTTGTGCTGGGATAGAATTGCATAGGGAACTGTGTAAAGCAAATTAACAAAATTAATAAAAACACCCAAAAAATTCAAGATATGATTGCAAAAAAGTACTTGTATGAGATCATGTTTTATAACATATGCAATTAAGTAATATCAAGAGCAAAAGAGATGTTTTCACGAATATGAGCATGATTGCAAATGTGATACTGATTTTATACAAACCTTCAATGAACAAGAAGTTAATATTTAGTAAATTACATTTTAGACACAACTTCAAACACAAGTTTTTGCTATTTCAACAACAAATACAGTTCCAGACAAATCCACAGCAGAACTGTTATGTGTTTCTGAGTAACACACAGTGGTGATTCGTTACTGAATGAATCATTTGCTTTGAACAAATGTGTTGCATAAATGATTCCATGACTCATTCATTAAGTCATTTGCCGCCACCTAGCCTACAGCCTACTGTTTTAGTGGCATATTATCATTCAGTATCATTTTATTCTTCCATCATATTTGTATATTCAAAATGTTATTTTAAAACATTAATCTCAACAATATTGATGCAGTTGTAATTTATACCAATTCAGATGTAGCTTTGCAGTGCAAAGGTGACTGCACTGAAGAGAAGTGAATGTTTATTGTTAGTGAATTAATTTGATTGGTAAGCTCTATATAGTGCCTTATTATACTAATTGTATTTATTTATTAAGACATTAAGGTTATTGATAAGACATTTCTCCGGCAGTAAAGGTGTTAAAGGTCTTGGTCTGGGTTTAGGTGGTCTTGACAACAATCCTACCCCTCATTTGTAGATTCTTAAAACACTTCTTTCTGTTTGATTTATAAGCTTGTTTCCTCATGGGAACCAAAAAAATGTCAAAATTTACTGCTATTACTATACTTGTAGGGACATTTGGTCATTACTTAGTGAATACCAGCACACACACACACACACACACACACACAACTCTCTGAACATAAATGTATTCTGAATATGGACAGAAATATGACAGCAGGCATACTTCTGTTCAATCCTCCACACTGCTAGATATCTGCTTAATGATCACAGCTGACAGGCGTTTATAGACTTTGATAAACATTATCAAGTGTATGCTATCAGTGAAATCAATGCAAAGCTCATTGTGAATGTAGATGAGTGGCATGTTTCTGGCCTGTCTGCCACAGAGATTCCCAGAACCCATGTACGGTTTGTATGTACAGAATGTTTGGACAGACACTGATGCATGACAACGACAGAAAATATACTGTTTTATGGCTGGAGTCTGAGTGAGTCCAGCCGAGTCCAGAAAGGCAATCAGATTTAAATGATTTGAAACGGCAGTTGTAAACATGCAAATCTGCAAAATGTGAAAAATTTTCACGAAATAATTGCATGCTATTTTTTATTTAGTAAAGCCTGAACAAGCTATTTCTCATAAAATATATTTACACATAGGGCCAGTTTTACTAACAGCTTTTGCCGGCGCAAACCATCTTTTGGCGTTAAAATAGTACTGTCAGGATTTACTAAAGACGCGCAGTGAAGAATTAGCGCTGAAAAGGCGTGGACACAGTTATTTTTGTGCCTGACCTTATTAAATATGCATTTGTAGGAGTTTCCCTTTTAGATGCAAAATTTATGGGAGAATAGTATTAAAATGAATCACGCAACATGATTTACTAATGTTTGCGCTCGTCAAATTACTGGTATTTGCACCATTATTTAACGCCCAAAAAAGCATGTCTTAAACTACTTTGCGCTTGAAACGGCTGCAATTGTTGTTGCTAGGAGGCAGAGATCGCGTGGTAGAAGGGAAAGGATTTTTTCCATATTTATTTATTTATTTGGAATGCCAGAAGAACACATTATCCGAATCTGAACATTTCCTTACGCTAATTTGCGCTGCGCTTGGTATGTTGCGTTGGTAATTATGTAAATGAGATGTTGTGTCTGTGTTCTTTAATTTGCGTGTTGTCAGTAGAGAAACGCAGAAATTTCCACACCCATCGGTGTCGTTTTGGAATTGCGCTCTTGTGCTAAGTTGCCCTGTTTAGTAAAACTGGCCCATAGTCCACGAGACAAAATAATAACTAATAATAATGTGTAGAGACTGGTGAAAAGGCCTCTGATTGGCCGCTGCGTTTAGACATGCCTGAGATTGGCTGCAAAAACACACTGCGAGTAGTTTCATTACTCAGTCATACTATATGTGACCCTGGAGCACAAAAGCAGTCATAAATAGCACAGGTATATTTGTAGCAATAGCCAACAATACATTGTATGGGGCAAAATTATACATTTTTATTTTATGCCAAAATCATTAGGATATTAAGTAAAGATCATGTTCCATGAAGATATTTTGTAAATTTCCTACCGTAAATATATGAAAACTTAATTTTTGATTAGTAATATGCATTGCTAAGAACTTCATTTGGACAACTTTAAAGATGATTTTCTCAATATTTAGATTTTTTTGCACCCTCAGATTCCAGATTTTAAATAGTTGTATCTCGGCCAAATATTGTCCTATCCTAACAAACCATACATCAATGGAAAGCTTATTTATTCAGCTTTCAGATCGTGTATAAATCTCAATTTCAAAAAATTTGACCCTTATGACTGGTTTTGTGCTCCAGGGTCACATATTGTATATTTTGCAGTTTTCTCGACCGGACCGCGTTCAGTCCTGACTGGAGCGGAGCAGCTCGACGCTGGTCAGTAAAGCTGATTCTGACTGTGGGAATGCATGCGCTCACCTCTTTGCACCAGCAGAGTGACTTCACTCCCTCGTGGACATTTGCTGAGGAGATCCACGATCTGGTTGTGGCTCATGGCCTGCACGCTCCTCTTGTTGACCTCTAGCAGGATGTCGCCCTCCTTCAGCCCTCGGCATTGTGGGTAATCCACCACCTGCTTCACCTTCTGCCCTCCACCAGCCAGACTGTCTGCGATGGTGAAGCCCAAGCCCTTGTCGCCCTTCTCGATGTGGACTGTGATCAGCTCGGGCTGCGTGGCTATGGAGGATGCCAGTGTCACCACGTCGCTGGCGTAAGCCGGGCCCATCAGAGCGCTGTCCGCGGCGGGGCCGAACGAGACGGGCTCAGGGGCCCCAGCACCGCCGCCGCCGGGCATGGGCTCGAAGCCCTCCTGACTGTTCACTATGATGGGCTCTTTGTCCAGGATGGCCACTGAGGTCACCAGGCTGGTGTTGGGGTCGTCGGGGTCGAAGGGCAGAGGGTAGCCGCGGCACAGCTCCAGCTGGACCATGGAGCCGATGGGGATGGACTGGAATATCTTCACCACCTGAGCGTGAGTGTATCCCAGCACGATCGTGTCGTTCACGCTGACGATGACGTCGCCTAAGACACACACACACACACGCGTGTTAAGAGACACAGCCGCACCACTCTACTTGTGTGACATTCACCATCAAACAGATGATGCACTGAAAAACCTGCACCCAAACCAGGAATTCAGGATGCATTGGGCTGTATTTAAAGGGTTAGTTCACCCAAAAATCTAAATTAGCCCATGTTTTACTCACCCTCAAGGCATCCTAGGTGTATATGACTTTCTTCTTTCAGACCAATACAATGAGAGTTATATTAAAAATTTTCCTTGCTCTTCCAAGCTTTATAATGGCAGCAGGCGGGTGGTTTGTTCAACAGTCCAAAAGAAGTCAATTAAAGCGCATCCATAATAAACACGGACATATGCGTAGCACACGCGGCAGTGATTAGTGACAAACGCAGAAGCGCAGCGGAGAGCTGCAAAACAAAATGCCGGTCACAAATTATAAGTACAAACCGAGGATTTGTAAAGAAGAATGTAGGAGGATTTCGATATAAGCCAAGTGGAGTGATTAAAAGTGTTTATTACATTTTAAATAGTGATGGAAAAGTGATGGAAAAATATGGATATTTTTTCTTACAAAAACGCATGGATTCGCTACAGGAGGCCTTCATTCACCCCCCGGAGCCGTGTGAGGAACGTTTTATTATGGATGGACTGTTGAACAAAAACACCCGCCCACCACCATTATAAAGCTTGGAAGAGCAAGGAAAATTTTTAATATAACTCCGACTGGATTCGTCTGAAAGAAGAAAGTCATAAACACCTAGGATGCCTTGAGGGTGAGTAAAACACAGGCTAATTTTAATTTTTGGGTGAACTATTCCTTTAATAATCAATTAGAAAACATTGTTGTACAAATATTTCAGTTGCACATAAGCCAGTTGTGTCATTTGTTAGACTGTTTCGACTTCAATTTGTTGTCCAAATATAAACATTTACAGGCGGCTGTAATTCAAACTTGTTTTCTTGACAGATTTATTCAAACATACATTAAATAATGAAGATAACTGGTCAAGTCAAAATATAGTGATATGTAATCTAGAGCTGATAATTGTCAAAATAGAGTTCTTCTCTAGAGTTATTTTTATAGCTGATGATCGAGTTTTTGGACACTGAATGTCTTTCCTGAGGTAAATGTGACGTTACGTGACATTATTGATCTCAAGCTGTTTGATTGATGTTTTGATAAAACACTGATTGATCGATTCCATGATTCATGATTGATTTCAGTAAGTTATTCTGTTTCTTCTGATGTTCATTCATGTTTATTTGCTAGTAATAAAGAGGAAGAGATGATCGCTTCATATCGGTTTCAGCCCTCCAAAACTATTTTGGGCTGTTTTAACCAAATATTTTCTGTTGCTGAAATTTTGGTGTATCACAATCTAATCATTCCTCTGAGCGAGTTGCCTTTAGCGATTAACCAATTAGCAAACTCTTTGTAAATCCTTTGTTTTGGAGGTGTGAGGCTGATATGCTGAACCAAACGATTTTTGACACAGTTGACTTCAACGCAAGTCCTTTACTCTTCAGGTATCATTCAGAACGAGTTACGAGTTAAAGGGGCATAAAATGCTGCATAGGAACGATTAGCTAAAATCATTCACTTCAAGGGAAACACAAACTGCATGTCTAACAGCATTTCTTAAAGTGCCCCTATTATGGATTTTTGAAAATTACCTTTCATGCAGTGTGTAACACAGCTCTAAGTGAATGAAAACATCCTGCAAAGTTTTGAATCTGAAAGTGCACCGTGTATAAAGTTATTGTCTCTCAAAAGAAAGAGTCGACTGAATCATTGAAACGAGTCGTTTTTAAAACGAATCCCAAGCCGTTTCATGTTGACATT